AGGGGTGCGGTGTGGTATGGCACATATGTTCACTGTTTGCTAGACTGACATCGCAGTTTCTTCACGTGAAAACGAATGTGATGTAATGATCATCCTATTCCTAACCAATCTCGTTGCGTTATATGACGATTTTTTAAAGTACTCCGATTGGACTTCACCTTATACCACTCGAATCGTCTTGAAAAGGCAAACAAAAAGTCTAATGGCGGTCATGAAGTCGGACTCAAAATGGCGATACTGTGGGCCACAAAGTGCGAAAAAAAGCACATTTTATTCTGCTTTCCAATTGCGAAACCCAAAACACATTCAGGGCAGCAGACCACCATAGGACCTTCCTTTAGAAAAATTATCATCGAAAAATGCGGATGTAGTTTTTGGGTATTCGCGAAAAACGAATTTTTTGAGCCAAATCTCCCAAGTCAAATGACTTGTAAAGCGGCTCTCGCAGCCTTTTTTTGGCTGAGCGATAGCGAAGCCTGTTACTCCAGTGGGGTTGAAAAGTTTTTCATGTCTGTCTGTCTGTCTGTCTGTGTGTCTGTGTGCACTACTCCTCCTGAACGGCTGAGCCGATCTCGGTGAGATTTTGCACACTTTTGGGTATGTCCTTGGCTCGACACACGCGAAATTTCACCATCCTAGCTCGATGTTTCAGTTTTTTGGGCCCCCCCTTCTATTTAAAAAATAGGGGAGGGCCTATGATTTGCCTTTGTGTCTGTGGTTGTTGTTGTTTTGTTGTTGTTGTTGGCGTCTGTGTACAAGGAAGGAGTTTAGCTAGAGTAACCAGATTTGGAGGGGACTTCAGGAGTACCGTCCAAACAAATAATCCCGGGGGTGCAAATCCCCTCCGGGTCGCACAAGGGCTGCAGCAGGTGCATCATGGTTTTCATGAGCGGGAGGGGGATTTTCCCCCATTATTGGTGCTAGCAGGGCACATGGGGGATTTTTTAATCGGGGCGACGAGACAAGATGAATGGACCTGGTCCCGACCCCATCGGCCGCTTTTACAAGTTGGCCAGATCAGGATCTTCGAAAAAGGGGGGCGACCGACTAAAATAATTTATTGCGATTTCGATTGGTCTCAGCAACAACTTTTTAACGAGGGGTCGGAAAGGGGGTCCAGGGGCCCGACTTCGTCTATTAGTCACATCAGGGTCTTGAAAAAAGGGGGGCGACCGACTGAAAATTTTTACTTAAGTTTTGGATAGACCTCTTCAACGAGGGGTCGGAAGGGGGGTCCAGGAGCCCGCCCTTTATGAGTTATGGGAAAAGTGCGACGGACTCGTTTTGTGCTCCTGCTGTGCCTCTATTGCAAGGAGTTGCAGTAGCATGGCAAATATGGGTATTTTCGGAATGAGGGCGAAGAGACAAATGAAATGGGCATATTCTAAGGACAGTTGGGAGTAAAAAGTGTAAGGACTATTGCATATTATGCATAGAAGGGTGGGCCTAAGTCACGATGGTACATCGATAACTTTGCTTTACCCGCTCATGGGGTGTGTGATGCGAGCGGGCCGAAGGCCCGGGCCTTCGACTGGCCAAGTTGGGTCTGATGCGAGGGCCGAAGGCCCGAGGAAAGGCCGCCGGCAGGCCAAGCTGGGCCGCCCCCTGTCGAACCGAGTTGCCGGCGCAGCGAAGCGGAGCTGGCAACTCGGTTCAACGGAAGGGCGGGCCCTAGCTTGTTATAGCCGAAAAACACCTAAAAAACGGCGAAAAATAGAGCTTTCTGCAGAAAGATCACTTCCGGGTGGGAGAAAGGGGCGTCTGGGGGGCGGAGCCCCCCAGCCTCGACAAGTTAAAAAGTGACAAAGGGGAAGATCGTGTTATCTATAGATAAAACAACCCCTTTTTAGAATGTAGGGGGGGGCTGGGGGCGGAGCCCCCCACCATTCAAAAGTTTAAAAAAAAACCGACAATGGACAAGCCATTGCCTGCCGCGGCAGGCTAGCGCCGCAGGCCAAAGGGAGGTACGCCAGGCGTGGATTGGAGAAACAGGCAGCGAGACATCGCGAAGCCCGTTACGACAAGACGCGGTCTGGCGTAAACCTACCTTGTTTCAGTATGATAAAAAGAAACGAAATCCATGGGGTAGGTCACCCTCGGGAAGAAACAAATCTTTGGTGAATATTTCAGTGTGTTTCACAAACTTTAAAACTTTTTTGGGAAAGACCAAAAAAGTTGAAAATTTTTTTTGAATCTCTTCGCTACATGCTACATAGGGGAAACCCCACAAAGTTTCGTCAAAATCCGAGACATTTAAATTGGGGTCCCGGATGACCTGGGTGGAATGCCCCTCGGGAGTAGTTTAAGGTCGAGGAGTCTGAATCTGACATTAGTTTCGAACTATGGCTACGCACTCCCGAAGAAAACTGAAAAAAAAAAACAGCTTAGACAGACTAAAGGCTGCTGAGGCATTGCTGTGTAGTATAATGTAAGTCGGGTAAAGAGCTTCTGGCACAGTTTAGAGGTCTGAGACCTAAACTAATTTTTTCTTTAAAGGAATGTTGTTAAAAAAAAAGAACACAATGGTAAAGCAGCTTTACTCTGCCATTCTTTTTCATAATGAAATATAAAAATTTTACAAGCCGTACTGGATTTCAACTGGATTTCATAACATGTATAAAAACAAATGCTTTACACGGAGAGCGCAAGTTTCATTTAGTTACAAAACTACCATTACTACCAGCTGCAAGTGTCACTAATAACCAGCCGAGAAATCCACTTTGGTGTGCCAGGCAATAATTTGAAAGAACTCACATTTAAGGGGGGACCCTGGTGATAAAATGGCCAAAACTGCCAAAAATAGTATTTTTTAAGTTCATAGATAAAAATGTGCATAGAAGGTTACAGATTCAACAGGTTGAACATCTTTAAACTATGTGGGTAGCTCCTTCATCATTTGGAAAGAAATAACATTGAGATCAGTTGTTGTTGGCTTATACACTCAACTTCACAGCTTTGCTCAGTCGACAAAAATTTTTGTCGTAGAAACACTTCCTGCGTTCCTGGTTGACACCTACATGAGTCGTCTTGCATGGACTCTATTCATTGATGACTTGTCGACAAATTTTAGTGACGGAATCTTGATATCAGCCCTACTCTTTTTTACACACACCTAAAAGTTTTATAAAAAGGCAAAAAATTCACTTTTTTTAAAGTTAAGATTTGGAACTTCATATCTCAGGACAGAAGTTGAAATTGAAAATTCCGTCACTAAAATCTCTTCTATACATCTTAAGGATAACCCAAAAAAATTTGAAGACTTTCGGTTTCCCAAAGAAAGACGCAGGAAGATTTTTCCCCAACGCTCTATAAAACACTAAAAAGCCACTTTTCTCAGAGACCGTTCAACATTTTGGATTGAATTTTGTTTTGGGAACTCACCATAATGAACCTTATTGGCTGAGCGATAGCGAAGCCTGTTATTTCAGTGGGGTTGAAAAGTTTTTCATGTCTGTCTCTGTGTCTGTGTGCACTACTCCTCCTGAACGGCTCGGCCGATCTCGGTCAGATTTCGCACACTTTTTGGGTATGTCCTTGGCTTGGCACATGCAAAATTTCATTACCCTAGCTCAATGGGTTCAGTTTTTATAGCCGAAAAACACCTAAAAAACGGCGAAAAATCTAGTTTTCAGCAGGCAGATTACTTCTGTCTCGAAGAAAGAGGGGTCTAGGGGGCTCCGCCCCCCAGCCTCGACAAGTTGAAAAGTTACGAGGGTCAAGATCGGGTTATATGTAGATGAAGCAACTCTATCTAGGATGAAGGGGGGTCTAGGGGCGGGGCCCGCCAGCCCCTCAGCATGCAACAAGTTGGGAGTAACCGACAATGGATAAGCCATTGCCTGCCGAAGGCAGGCTAGCGCCGCAGGCCAAGGTAGGTACGCCAGGCGCGGATTGGAGGAACAGGCAGCGAGACATCGCGAAGCCTGTTACGACAAGACGCGGTCTGGCGTAAACCTACCTTGTAATTAAGCAAAGTTTCAACTTCCTGGGATTATTTTAAAGCCTACTTGAAAGTTTCACCAGGGCCCCCTCTTAAAATGTAATTAACTCTGCACACTCAATAGTGTACTTGGTTCACTCTGTTTAACGTGTACTCACGAGTAGTATACTCTCCTCAGCGTGTACTGACGAGTACATTTTTTTCAGCGTGTGCTCACGAGCACACTCTTGTTAGAGTGTACTCATCTAAGCACACTCTCGTTGGAGTGTACTAAGGCAAACCTAACCTTTATGAGCATTCATATCCTTTTAACAGGTTATCAAAATTAGGACGGTATTGTGGTGCCGTTTTCTTACGCATGATCTTCTGGCCTCCCTCTCGAGCCACATGTTATATATAGTTATATGTAAGATGTTATATATAGATTTGAAACTCCATGTACAATAGAAACTAGCAAGTCCCGTGCCAAACAAGATTTAAGAGTGCAGAGACGGACTGCGTTCAAATAAGTTTGCTCCGGGGAGGCTGTGGGCACGAAAACGCCCTCTACGCGCGGAATCACCCGTATGATTCCAGATTTCAGATATTCGCAGAGTTTCATGCCATTTTCTGATGATTCCCATCATTTCTGCGTGATCTGCACTGCAGGAAAAATTGTGAAAAGTACCACAAAAGCTGGGATCCTTAACGTAACTTAACAGATAACCAACACTGCTTTCATAACGTGACATAAGACAATGTTCGCTAAAGGTTAAGGGTACGGACTTATGAAAGTACTTGCAAAAGTATATCCGCACAAATTCGAGACATAAAAAAATAACCTACCCTTTTGAAAAGATGTTAGAAGTTAAGGGTAATAACTTTAACTCTTACGATAACGTTATGATGCCCTTATGAGGTAAGTTAAGGATCCCTGGACAAAAGCACAACGGCAAAGTTAAATCAAAATAGAACAGAAATGAAGCACCCCACTCCACCTCCAAAGCAAAGCATTGCGTCAGGGCCTTCGAGAGCAGATAAGGTGGAGAACCAAGTCCAGAGCACTCGAAACCCACTTAAAAGGCAGCCACCAAAGATCTGTGCATTAGTCACAGCTGCTGTGCCGCACCAAACCTCAACCATGGCCGCCAAGTACACCGCCCTCGCTTTGGCCCTTGCTGCCTGCTTCATCGTGAGTGTCAAAGGGTCGCCCTTTGGTGTCATAAACAGTTTTGGACAGTTTTGAACACCCAGGGGCACTCGGGAAATCCTGTGTCCCATGGACTCTGGAAATACAAAATCTTTTCCACTGAAAACGTACTGGTCGGACACATGGCCATTGGCCAAAGTCACGCCGTCACGCCAAACAATGGCGTGACACGAAATTCAGTCACGCCGTCATGCCAAAGAGCGGCATGACAAGAAATTCACATCAAGTATTGGCGTGAATTTTTGAGTCACCTTTGAAGACTGAGCTGGTTTTCAAAACCCCCCTGAAGACTGAGCTGTTCTTCTTAGTAGGTATCGGGCTGTCCCGCCGTCCCCAGATTTTGAGGTTTTTCGCCTCTAGCGGTTGAACGATCAATTTGCTCGTACACAATTTATGTTGTTTTAATCGTATCCTCCGGGTTTTTTGCAACGCACCATTCAAAGTTTCAAATTAAAAATATTAAAGTTGGTAGTCGCATTAGCGTGGTTTCACCACAATGAGGGAATAAACTTGATCGGGCGGGCCCGGGCGAACGTTGCATACGAGAAACTTGTTCGCACAGAACCTTAATTAGTTGAAACAAAATTTACGAATTTTCGTAAATTAAACAATGCACGTGTTGATCGTGAATTGCGATACATTAAAATAAACATACCTGTCAGTATCGTCTGCTTTCACGTTATTGTTAGCACTAATGTTTTTTTTCCTTGCAACACGATGTTTAAATGCCAAGAATTTTTAAAAACAAGAGCCCACAAACCCCCTGTTCTGTAGACCTCTCATAAAGGTCGGAACTTGCGTTAAGTTGGTGGTGACGAGCACGCATGGCCGTTATTAAGGCAAACACAAGGGTGACCCACTCTGGTAATCGTGTGTACACTTCGTCCGTATCATTGGTAATACCAAACTGGCTAGTTTCGCCGTTTTTATCGGATTTTGGGGTTTTTTCTTATGAAATTAGGCTAAATGCTCTTAGCTGGCCAAAATTATGGAGGTTTTTTTTCGTATGTTTGTAGGTAATCACTGGTAATCAGTAATCCTGTGTACAATCCGGAACTGAGTGGTGCAAACACGTGGCTAACTGAGACTTGTGCTTGGGTCCCCGCAGATGGCGGCTGCCAAGAAGTCTGCCTGCGACGACAGGGCCATGGACAACCTCGAAAAGCAGATCGAGATCTGCGCTAGGAACGTTCCGGCCCAGATGTACTCCGACCCGACCTGGCAGTGCGCGCGGGAGGTGTCCGGGAAGTTGAACAGGAAGGGCGCCAACTGCAACATCAACGACGCTCCCACTTACCTGGAGAACTGCTTGTACGGCTACGCCGGCGATGACGACGTCGCGCCTGCCGTGGATTGCCTAACCAATGCGCTCAGCGCCAAAATTTGCTGTTAAAAGGTTATAGTTGTCAACCCAATGTGAATAAAAAGACGTGAAGTATTCTTCACATTCGGTGCAAGAAAGAATCAGGTTTAATCTTTGAGAATCTTGTTTTTTTCCTAATGAGTCCCATCATCAGTACAAATCCAAAGGTCTGGCATTCACAACTTCAGAGGCGTTGCGAAAAGTCTTGCTAGTGAACGGCGTGCCCGCACAGCCAGCGCCAGCACACGCTGCGCTACGCCACGCATCCTGTGTCGCGCGGGTTTGCTGCTGACGGGGTAGTTTCGTACGTACCGTGCCTTTTCATGTCCGAGGTACAAAACAGTCATTCTAATTTATTTGAAGCATTCTAACAGCTTGACCCTCTCCTACCACACCAGTGCAACTTGTGGAGATAAACTTGTGGAAATAAGTACAAAGAGTTCAAATCTGTGGTGAAAAGGAACGGTAAGCACGGAATTACCCGACGGCGGCGGGCCGCAGAAGTAGGCCTCTCGGCTGAGGGCGGTTGCCCCGCCCAGTGGGTAGGCCGCCCATCGTGCCCGGGGCCGAGGGACGCCATTACCATTAAGGGCTAGACCACACATGATCGTATGCCATTTCGGGCCCGACACATGCTCGCCTGCACTGCAAAACGAGACAAGGTCGTCCTTACTAGGCGCTGGCTGTGTGTCCCCCACTGCTCGGGTGCCCACGTGGCTGCCTTTGCAGGGTGGACCGTTTCCGGTAAGTTGAAGTTTGTCAACGGGCTAGCACGGCAAAAGTATTTTTGGGTCAAGAGAAACTTATAGAAAAAAACCGGAAGTCGCTGCGACGTAATTTAGGGGTCGCGCAGAGGGCGGGAAATTTCAAACGCCCAAAAGGCCGGAAAATACCCTAATTTTGCCCGTATCTCGTCCCAGGGGCGGCCTACAAAAATTTTAAGGGAACAAAAACTGCTCAAAATCACTTCATCAATAATCTGGTAACATTTTGGAAGCGATCCCACTAAGTTTAGTACCGATCGCTAATAAATAACACCGATTTTCGTATATATAAGTTTTGTTTTCTGGTAATTCACAGTGTAGTACCGTCTGTTCAGCTCGTGTTTTGATTTGGTGGCGAGAGAGACAGCGTATTCTCAGTAGCTGCACAGGGCTTGCGGTCTAGGCGGGTAGCGCATTGTTGACAGCCCTGCCTGTGTGTGGTGCCTCGAACGGCGCGCGGCGGCTAGCGCAGCGGAGGGCGTAGCTCGGCGTGTTCAAACTTGTTCGCGCGCGTTGTCGCTCTTTCTCGCGTCTCGCTGTCGGACAGAGCGTATCCTTAGTAGCTGCACAGGGCTTGCGTTCGAGTGACAGCCCTGCCTGCTGTGTCTCGAGCGGCGCGCGGTGCCAAGCGCAGCGGTGGGCGCATCTCGACGTGTTCAAACTTGTTCGCGCGCGTTCTCGCTCTTTCTCGCGTCGCGCTGTCTGTTTAAGTGTGAATGTGTGGAAATGGCGTCAACAAGGCTTCAAACTGATCTGTGGCTTATTGGACAACCAGCTTCAGAGATCACCGGCGGGAAATTGCCATTGACTTCGCAAGTTTTGCAGCGTTTCTTCTATTTGCACAACATTGATGGGAAGCCATTAAGGGACAGTGCGAGAGAAACAATCGAAGAAACTTTACCGTTCTGGGTCAAAGCTGGAGTTCCGACTCAAGAGGTGAGAAATGCCACAGACGCCCTCCTCCGTCTCCACAGAGATTACGTGTCTTTGAAGAAAAATATCAACAGGACAGGCAAAATCTATGATGACCGTCGGCAAGATTTCCAAGACAGACTTAGTAGAACTTATGATCTAGCAACGGTCGATGCAGTGAGTAGAATGGAAGAGGAGATTAAAAAAACAAAGGACCTGAAAAGAAAAGCAGCCATGGTGGAGGACCTGCAATTTTACAAGCAGCAAATTGAAACCCGCAAAGGAACTTTGGGTAACGTAGACCCACTTGAAATTAAAAAAATGAAAAGAGATGAAAGAAAGAAAGAAAAAGAGAGAATTTTACAAGAAAAATACCACGAGGAGAAGATGAAATGCGAAGAGAGTATGAAGAAAGTTGACTGGGTGGATGTTAAAGAAGAGCTGCCCGATGAAGATTTACCTGAGAGTAGGGAGAAAGATGAAGATTTTAAGATGGAAAACAATTATCTGAAAAGAAAAGTTAAGACTGACGTGCTGACACCAACTCTCCTCGCTTCTCTGGACCGGAATGCATTGACGGACCGAAAAGCTCTGCGCACGGTATCAGAGACAGCCTCTGCTCTTGGACACGACCTGAAAGACGTAAATTTATCAAGATCAACTATTCGGCGATACCGAGAGTCAAGCAGGGCGAATGCTCGAGGACGTCTTCCTGATGACTTCACCTTGGACGGTCCTGTTGTGCTCCACTGGGACGGAAAACGGCTGGAAGAAGATGGTGGTAAGTATTAAGCACATGTGCTCCATTTTATTTTATTTACAATGAATAACTAAATTGGAATTTTTCTGCAGCTTGGGTTGAACGGCTCGTTGTTGTCGCTGTTGATCTGAAATCCGGAAGCGAGCAGCTTTTGGGCATTGTGCGGCTCCCGGATGGCACCGGCAAGTCTCAGGCCGACGCTGTGTTGTCGCTGGCAAGAGAGTGGGACTTGGCACACAGGGTGGTGGGCTTATCGTTCGATACCACCGCTTCGAACACCAGCCCGGCCAAGGGAGCCTGCGTGCTGATCGAGCTGGGTCTGGGGCGGAAGCTGCTGCGGCTTGCGTGTCGGCACCACGTCCTGGAGTTGCCTGTGAAAGGTGGCTTCGAGGCGCTGATCGGGAAATCTCAGTCTCCAGACATTCCCTTGTTCAGTCGTTTCAGGGCATTCTGGAAAAACATTGATCAAGGTAACTAACACGAATGAAAAGTAGGAATGCCTTCAATATTTTGCTTCACATCACAGTCATGCCACTTTTCTTGTTCTTTTTGCAGGGAAATACGTAAATGCGAGGCAGTTGCAGCTAATTCGCCGCATTCCTGAAGCAGACGAAATTATCGTCTTCTGCAAAGAGCAGCTGTTGCAGGTGATACAATAAGCCTGAAATCACGGTTTAATTTATGTTAAAATTTTTGCTTAGTAAATTTTTTTACCTTTTACACAGGAAAAGCAGCCGCGCGATGACTACAGGATGCTCTTGCTCTACACAATCATATTTCTCGGTGGAGTCCCTCCCGGTGGTGTGAAGTTTTACGAACCCATCACCGTTAGCAAGACGCGTTTCATGGCAGGGGCGATATACTGCATACTTATTTGCATGTTTAGTCGTCAATTCTCGCTCTCAGCTCAGGAGAAGACTGCTGCCTCTGAAACGGCTGTGTTTGTTGTGACAGAGCATATCCAGGTATGGTTTCTATCAAGAATTTCTGCTGTGGCACCGAGAACTGACTTGGAGTACCTCAAAACCATCACCAGAGATGTACTTCGCAACAAGAAGAATGATGCTCGGAAGACCATGTGGAAAACTGCGGGGGGGAAATTTTTGGGACATTTGTGGTATCTGTGCCCTGAACTGGCCACTTTGGCTTTATTTGATAGACAGGTAGACCAGGAGACCAAACTGTCTATTGTGGCTGCGATGAATGCAGGGGAGGACATGGAGGAAGACGATTTGCCTAATAAGGGGTTCATAGTCAAGTTAGAAAATTCGGTATTGTCATTGACACTTCCCAGTTTTGTTAACGCAGGGTCCAAATATTTCTTCCACAAGTTGGGTGTCCAGCCTGACTTTTTATCTTTGCACCCATCAGAATGGCCTTCTAACAGTAATTTTAAGGAAATTGAAGTCCTCGTCAAAAACCTCCCTGTTGTAAATGACGCAGCGGAGAGGAATGTGAGAATAGCAACAGATTTCCACAATATACTCACAAAAAATGAAGACCAAAGACAAGGCTTGTTCCTCAATGTTGCAAACGACCGCAAAAGTGTTAGTCAAAAATAAACTTAATTATGCTTGTCATTTCAATAATGTGCAACTTTAACCAAACAATTCTATTGAGTTTTCAGATGTGATATTTCTAATTACCAAATGCTAAGGTGCCATGTGCCATATTAAACATTTAACGTGAAATAAATAAAAAAAATCAAAGTGAGAACGTTATTTTTACCATCCAGAAACCCCTTAAAATACACAAAAACTACAAAAATCGGTATTATTTATTAGCGATCGGTACTAAACTTAGTGGGATCACTTCCAAAATGTTACCAGAGTATTGATGAAGTGATTTTGAGCAGTTTTTGTTCCCTTAAAATTTTTGTAGGCCGCCCCTGGGACGAGATACGGGCAAAATCAGGGTATTTTTCCGGCCTTTTGGGCGTTTGAATTTTCCCGCCCTCTGCGCGACCCCTAAATTACGTCGCAGCGACTTCCGGTTTTTTTCTATAAGTTTCTCTTGACCCAAAAATACTTTTGCCGTGCTAGCCCGTTGACAAACTTCAACTTACCGGAAACGGTCCACCCTCCAGCCGTACATTACCATTACAGGCTAGACCACACATGATCGTAAGCCGTACAGAAGCCTCGGCGTCCGCTTCGCTGACTCGAGTGGAGAGCAAGAAGGATCACTGAACCGCAAAGAGCAGGTTTATTTAAGAAAAGCAGGACCTTACAACGACCCCCTTGGATTTCGCTGATTTTTTGGTGGTTAGTAGTCCCCCGTGGTGGGAGTTCATGGCCAAAATTTCAGACCTCAAAAAAATTTTCTCTGGGAGATATGGGGATTTTAAGTTTTTTTTGGGTATTTTTACACTAATTTTGGGTATTTCTTATATCCCAGGGACTTTTTGTCGGATTAGTTTCAGATTCGGGTTCTACCTTCAAAATTGAACGGGGAACACGATCGTGCCGTCAGATTTGACCTGAAATATTTTTTTCATGGGGAAAACTCACTTTTCTCGAAAAGATTACATAAAAAGTCCCAAATCTTGGGATTTTGCAGTTAAAAGTACCCGATCTTTTTAAAACTGGTCATATCTTACGCAGAAAGGTCCGCTGAATTCAAAAATCACAACCCCAGATTTTTCCGACGAACCGTTCCGGAGATATTCCACTTCAAAGTCAGGCAATTTTTTTTTCGGCCTAAAAGTTGTGCGATTTTGCTGGGCTTTTACACATAAATACATAATTGGCTGAGCGATAGCGAAGCCTGTTACTCCAGTGGGGTTGAAAAGTTTTGTCTGTCTGTCGGTCTGTCTGTCTGTCTGTCTGTCTGTCCGCACTACTCCTCCTGAACGGCTCAGCCGATATCGGTGAGATTTTGCACACTTCTTGGGTATGTTCTTGGCTCGGCACACGCGAAATTTCACCATCCTAGCTCAACTGGTTCAGTTTTTATAGGCGAAAAACACCTTAAAAACGGCGAAAACTAGAGATTTCTGCAAATAGACCACCTCTGTCTTGGAGAAAGGGGGGTCTGGGGGGCGGAGCCCCCCAGCCTCGACAAGTTAAAAAGTGACAAGGGTCAAGATCGTGTTATCTGTAGATAAAACGACTCTATTGAGAATGTAGGGGGGTCTGGGGGGCGGAGCCCCCCAGCATTCAACAAGTTAAAAAAATAACCGACAACGGACAAGCCATTGCCTGCCGCAGGCAGGCTAGCGCCGCAGGCCAAGGTAGGTACGCCAGGCGTGGATTGGAGGAACAGGCAGCGAGACATCGCGAAGCCTGTTACGACAAGACGCGGTCTGGCGTAAACCTACCTTGTACATAAATACACATAAATCTACCGCCTCGCGCGCGCACACACACACACACACACACACAACACACATAATCAGGAGCGACCAGCGACCCCCCCGTCAGGTTAAGTCTGTAGCCGCGCCTGGGACAACATGACAGATGTGTACTTCATCGAGCTCCTACCCTTGCACCTCCGTTGCCGCCCCCAAACTGGGCCCTCCCGAGACGGTTCTCAGTCGCTGGATCTGAGGCTGTAGCAGGGTCTCGTTCTGCTTCGCTGGAGTCACTGCTGTAAGCATCTCTAGCGCATGCGTGCTCCTCACCAAATTCTGGAATACACGTAATAAGAGGTGTATGTAATAAATCCTATTAGTTTGAGAAAGAATTCATCATGAACTCACAAATAGCTGGAGCTGGTCCTCTTGACGGTCCAGTTCCGGGTAGTAGGTACCGCTGTCAAGGCCGCCGGCAGGCCAAGTTGGGCCTGCCCCCTGTCGACGAAGTTGCCGGCGCAGCGAAGCGGAGCTGGCAACTCGGTTCGACGTAAAGGCGGGCCCTAGCTTGTTATGACTAAACGAAAGGTTGATAAAAGTTCATTCATGAAAGGTATATTCCTTGTCTGCGTTCAAAACTTTACGAAAAACTCGTATAGTTGGACACCTTTTTGGCTGTGTGTGGCTATTTTTAAAAAAAATCGAACATTGCGTACATAATGTTTTACGACAGGTTTGTATTTCGACTCCAATCCAGTTTGTTCTACATTATTTGCTCAAAATGGTCGCTTTTACATTTGATGCCGTCGTTTTATTTAACGTTTAAATTCTCCGTAGTGTCTTTAATGAGCCGGCAGTTGCAAGTTGCAGGGTTTCACGTCGAAGGCCTATTCGAGGGCGTAGCGGAGCGCCGCGGTCGCCTGCGATGGTTAGGTTAAGTGTCCAGTTCCACAGCAAAGCCTGCAAAACGCATCCGGTTTACAGCGGTGAAAATTTTGTCACAACTTAGCGATACACTTATTGTTAATTTTTTTATCGACAAGGTCTGTATTAGAACGAATAGCTTGTTAAACCTTTGTCGTACTGCTACTAAACGATATTTACACACTCTAAATATTGTTGTGATGTTCAAATGATTGCATCCCATGCGGTCGCTTCGCACACACTGGTAAATACTCCAGCAGACGACTCTCTGCCGCTCTGCGTATAACGCTGTCCTCACTGCGCCTGCGCGCAGATGCGCAAGCGACGAGCGCGCGCCCGTGCTGCCCCTGGCGGCCGGCGCGGGAACTACAGCGGGCGGGCGGGCAGCCCGGGCCCGGCGACTCGGCGGATCTACGCGGCAGTTGCGCCTAGCTCGCTCTAGTGTGAGCATCTACGTGCAGCTTCTCATCGCTCTCCGAGCCTTCCTACTACAACCGAAATACAACCGTCTTTCTACTCCCAATTCTCTCTCTTATTCCCTTTTTGCCTCCCTGCCGCACATTTAACAGTGGTGGCAGCGGTGTAAATCGGAAGGAGGGAGGAGAGAATAGAGAGTTCGGTCGGAACGAGGCAGCATCTGCCCGTTCCCCACGCCGACGCGGGCGCGTCCAGAGGACGCCCCAAGCCCACGAAGGCTCTAAGCAACCCTTAACATTAAACGAAAAAGCTCCTTTTTCCACACACAATGTTAGGCTAGCTTCCACACGCACAAGTTTACGTGCTGTCCACCTTACGAGAAGGGACGCCGTCGGCGTCCTTCCGTAACGGTTCACTTCCATCGCTCGCCGTTCGCCGCCTAGCTTAGAGGAATTCGTCGCCGCCGCATCGGAAAAGGTTTGTTAGTGCCCAGTGACCAGGATTTGTGACTCTGTGTAGTGCTTCCGATCCAGCCGTGCGGTAGGCGTCGTTTCTGACAAGACAAGTGCGTGTTCTCGCGAGTGATAAGTGTTTGTGTGATAGTTCGTGTGTTGTGCCTTGTGTTTGTTCATTGTTTTGGCGGTAAACGAACTCATCTCATGGGTCGTTCATCGCGTTCACGGCGTAGGGACGCCGCCGCGCAGCGCGCGCGCGCGAACCCAAACAATGCGCCTGGCGAGGTCATTGACCTGACGCCACCGGCTGACGCGCCGGCAACAAGCGGCCCGCGGCCGGGCTCGCGCCAAAGCGAACCGGCCCAAACCGCGTCCTCAGTTTGGCAGCCAACTGCCGTGCTGGGGTCCGGTTTGCCGTCCACAACCCCAAGGCCACGCTTCGGGGATGATGGTGTTGCAGAGCCAAGCCACGCCGGCGACGGTTTCCCTCGACTTGCAGCGTCTGCGGGCTTCGGAAAACCGAACGCCGGCTCCGCGGGGCCCGCTGTTGGGGCGACCCACTTTGGCTGGGCCGCGGATGCAAGCCCCGCGCCCGCCGCGGCACCCAGTGCTCGCAGCAACGCGCTAGAGGACTGGATTAGGGCTCGCCGCACTAATGCACTGCAGGAACAGGGCGCCGCGCCGCGGGGTCACGAGCCTCCTCGTGCCCCGGCCGCGGGCGACCCTGGCCCGGCCCCAGGCAGCTTGTCCTACAACCTGATGCATGGCTTCTTCGCCCCGTCGGAGCAACGCCGCGGTCACGCCCTCGGGAGCGCAGCCCCAGCTGCCCCCGCCGTGGCCGTGCCCCCGAGCGGTCCTCATGCGCCGTCGGCCGCGGCCTCGCGAGTGCAGGGTGGCGTCGTCGCTACCCGCACCGCCCAGGACGCCGTTGACGCGCACCTGGCGCCAACCCGCGCGTCCAGGCCAAGGCAACGCCGAGCTCCTTCAAGGGCAAGGCGGACAGGAAACTGGTCGGCGTCCTCGGGCAGCCCCGAGACGCCCAGGGTGCGCGGACGCGCGCGGGACGGAAGACGATCCCCATCGTCGTCCCCAACCCGTAGCCGCCAGCGCGACGCGCAAAGGCGGCGCGCGCGCTTCTCGCCGTCGCCATCCTCTAGTGGATCGTCGCGCACGTCCAGCGGCTCCCGCTCGGCGCGATCACGATCCCGTTCGCCTGTCCCGGACATGTCCCGTCGGCGCGCGGATTCTGAGCGACCGCAGCAGCCCCTGCAGCGGCCCAGCGCCGCGCTGTCGAACACGCTGCGCGGCGGAGTGCCGCGCGGTGGCCAACAAGTGCAGCAGCCCCAGCAGCGGGACGGCGCCGCGCCGTTGCACCCGCCGCACGGCGCCCCGCCGTCGCACGCATTGCATGGTGGCCAACTAGTGCAGCAGCAACTGATGCACCAGGACGTTGTGCACCATGGCCAGCACCAAGGCCAGCACGGCGCCCCGCCGTTGCGCGCATTGCATGGTGGCCAACTAGTGCAGCAGCAACTGCTGCACCAGGACGCTGCCCACCATGGCCAGCACCAAGGCCAGCAGGCACTGTTCCAGGGCTACGCCCCCTCGCACGCGTCCTCGGGCTACGAACACCCAGTGTTGGCCGGAGGCGCGGCGCCGAGTGGCAGTGCTG